GAGACCATTGGTGGCTCCTTTGAAGGACAGTGAGCTGGCCTAAAGCAGCTGCAGGAGAGGACAGGAGCCTCTGGAGGCCTCAGGGTATTCTGGGAAGTTCTTATCAGCCTGTGGTCCAGTTGAGGGCTTCAAGTGAAAGGCTCTTTTGTGTTTTGGAATTTGGACCCTTAAACTCCTGGTCTCTACTTGGACCTTAGAACAAAAAAAAAAAAGTCCTCGCCCAGTGTTCTAGAGGACAGAGGTGTCCAGAAGAGGCCAGGCCACCTGTACAGAGGCATTCAGCGGTGGCCATGCTGCCTGTACAGAAGTGTACAGAGAAGGCCAGACTGCCTCTGTTACTTCTGAAGGAGTTTCCTGCCAATTACACTAGGTTCTTGGTAGTCTTTGGCTTGTGGTCACATCGTTTCAGATAGCTTCTATTGTTGCACGGCCTTCTAGATTATGCCTGTGTTTAGATGTCCCTACTTTTTGGAGAGATACTTGTCCTTAGGTTAGAATCTGTCCTTATCTACTAGGGATCCAATAGAAATATCTAAGGGAGGTCATACTAGGAAATGGAGGTTAATCAAACTTGAAGGGATACAATCCAGTCCATAGGACCCCCTCCCCCAGCTCTATCTCACATAGGTAGCATGCTGTCCAGTCTACCTTAACACCTGCGCCCCGCCCCCCTGCCCCGTTCAGGGCTCTGTAGCTAAGCTCTGTGTCGCAAGCCCACTCTGCCAGGGAGATCTCTGTACTGGAGGTGTGGATAGGCTGCAGATTGGGAGCTTCTCCCAGGCAGCCTGCATGTGATCACTGCACCACCTGTTGCCTCACAGCCCAGGTTCTCTCCTTGCTCTTCCTGGGGGCTCTGGAGATGAGATGCAGCCAGGGGCTCTAGCATGGACTATCAAACAGTTGCAGCCCCTGAACCCACCAAAGTCATGAGGACCTGAGTCTGAATCCCCAGTGCACATGTAAAACCTGGGCATGGCCATGTATCTAGGAACCCCAGCGTTGGAGGCAGAGACAGGCAAATCCAGGGAGGAAAGCAAAGCAGCGAGATTCATGTCTGGTGAGATGTCCTATCTCAGTGGAGTGAGACAGAAAGCAGTGGAGGAAGACATCTGATGTTCTCCTCTGGCCTTACCATGTGCGTGCCACTACCTCTCTCCCATGCAAACACATGTAAACACACACACACACACACACACACACACACACACTCACACACTCACACACACACACACACTCACACTCACACACTGGAATTCAAGGACATGTGTTCAGTAGAATTCGCTTAGAGGGCTTAAAGACTCTGTAGCTGAGTTGAGCATGTACAAATGCACTTAATCCCAGCACTCAAGAGGCGGAGGTAGACAGCCGCTCATTCACCTCTCCAGGCCAGGCAGGCTACATGACTGTGCTGCTAATTTTATGTCAACTTGACATTAGCTAGAATCATCAGAGAGGAGGGAACCTCAATTAAGATTAGGGGGAGGGAGGTCAGGGAAGAAGTAGGAGGAGAGGAGGGAGGAGAAGCTACATAAAATTAATTAATTAATTAAAATAAAAAAAAAGGAAATGCCTCCATAAGATCAGGCTGTAGACAAACCTGTAGGGCATTTTCTTAATTAGTGATTTATGGGTGAGGGTCCAGCCTATTGTGGGTGGTATTGTCCTTGGACTAGTAGTCTTGGGTTCTATAAGAACGCAGGCTGAGCAAGCCAGAGGAAACAGACCAGTAGCAGCACCCCTCCATGGCCTCAGCATCAGCTTCTGCCTCCAGGATCCAGCCCTGTTTGAGTTCCTGTCCTGTCTTGTCCTTCAGTGATGGACTACAATGTGGAAGTGTAAGCCAAGTGAACCCTTTCCTCCCCAACTTGTTTTTGTTTTTGGTGTTTAATCATAGCAATAGTAACCTTAACTAGAACAGAGACCAAAAAATTAGTAGCTGGGGGATGGCTCATTTTGTAAAGTGATTGCCACATAAGCATGAGGGCCTAGGTTCCAATCCTCAGCACCCACGTAAATAAGCCTGGTGTGGCGGTGTACATCTGTAATTCCAGCCCTGGGAGGCAGATAGAAGAGTTTTCCTGGAGCTTACTGGCCAGCTGGGCTTGCCAAATTAGCAATTTCCAGATTCAGTGAGAGATCTCATCTCAGTCTAGTAAGGTGGAGAACAATTTGCATTGATCTTTTGCTGGAAATGTATGTGAATGTGGGCGAGCATGTGTGTTGTGTGCACACACACAAACATACACACAGGAGAGGGACAACAATGCATAAGTTTGTCTTTGTCATAGGAGTGTGTGTGTGTGTGTGTGTGTGTGTGTGTGTGTGTGTGTGTGTGTGTGTGGAAAGTTGGTGGATGGTCACTGTCTGGGCCAGTCAGTGGTTGGATAGTTCTTTCTAGCACCTCACTGTTCTTCTGGAGAAAACTACCCTTTGAGGTTGGGAAAAGACCCTTGTTCGGCTGTATCAAGTGAGTAAGAGAAAGAAGTGGAAGCTTCTTAGACTTTTCCCACAGCTGTGGGCCGGGCTGGCTACACACTCATCAACACAAGTGAGTGTCTACCCGAGCACAAGTGTTGCCCTTTGTTTTGTTTTGGTTTTGTCTCCTAATAGATTTTTGGTGGGACTCAGTTTCATATGCAGATACTGCTGAAAGGTCCTGGGCTTCTTGCATTTATTTTTAGGGTTTGCACCAGTTTTGCATTATCTCAGTTGGGTTTTAAGTAGAGCTTCAGAATTGGCGGTGGATGGAGGAAAACCAGATGGTGTGTGCTCCAAAGCACAGTGCTCCCAGGTTCTCTGAGTGCCCTGCTCTGAATTCTTGCCCTCTGCCACTTTTTCGTATGTCTGAAAAATAGGCACTGCTTCAAAAATGTGTTAGGGGAACGGCTACCATTGAAGCTGAGAATATAGCACACGCCTGCTCCCTGTCCTTGTCTCTGGCCTGTCAGTGCTGTGCTGTCCCTTGGGAAGTCCACTGGAGGTCAGCTACAGGCTAGCTGGAGTTGGCTGCCTGGAGGTGATGGGTCTGGCTATTGGTCTGGGCGCCAGCACTCACTTCAGTGCAGTCAGACATTTCCACACTGCAGAGCCTGTTTGGAGAACCTGCAGATCAGGGCTCTGTTCCAGATGCAGAGTGAGCAGGAAGAGTGAAGGAACTGAAAGTTTGTTATTGGGAGATAATGGGAAACTTGCCCCTGTGTGCCATGCCATGGTGGCCTGCATTGCTGCATTCCTTGTGTAGCTGAGGGCTCATGTCTGCCAGACTCTTACTTCAGTAGGGTCCCCTAAACAGACTGAGCAGTCGGTCTTCTTGGGCGGCCAGAGTGTACCCTGGGCACCCAACACAAGCTCATCTTTGCTATCCTGCAGCCGGGATTTGACTTCCGTTTTTTTTTTTATTCACCACCAACTTAACATTAAAGTCAAGCCTCAACCTGCAGTGGGTCTCTCAAATCACTGCCAGGACATGCCAGAGACTGGGATGCAGTTGATTCAGGGAGTACAGCGGGCCTTCCCTGTGCTCACTGCAGTATGCCTGTGCTGTTCTTACACAGTGCTGTGACAGGGATGCTCTAAACAAGGCAGAGCACATGAACCATCTCTTTCCAACATTTGTAGTAGATACCTGCTGAGTGCTTGAGTCGACTGTTACTGTGTCAGTCACAGCAAGTTCTGGTGTTGCTGGGACCTTCCTCAGCCTTGTTTGTAAGGATAGATGCCAGGTGTCATCTTCCCTGCCCTGGCTGCTATCCCAGGCTGCAGTGTTTCAAAGAAGCTCTTGGGGGTGAACAGGTCATACCCACCCAGCTGACTTTTCCTGCATCAGTCCTCATGGCTGTCACCCTTCACCAGGGGTAGCATTTCCAGTGAAACCATACTTGGGTTGTTGTGGTCTCATATAGCTCTGGCTGGCCTCCATCTCACTTAAGTAGCCAAGGCTGGCTTTGAACTACTGATCTCCTGCTTCTCCCTACCGAGTGCTAGGATTATTAGCCATCATGCTAATAATGCTAAAAGGTGCTTGTTTTGGTAAGTGCCTGGGAAGTGCCTTGGAGCGTTCTCTCTTCTGGTGCTAGAGGCAGGTTCAGAAATGGCCCACACAGCAGAACAGGTTTGTGTCTGCCCCTGTTGCTAGAAGACGACTGGTCACTAGGATGATAAATCCTGAGTGTGGACCAGAGACACACAGGGGCAGGCCCAAGAAGCATGGCCAGAACTGGACAGTTCAGATATGGCCAGGCCTTCCCAGGCAAGTGCCCTCCCTGTGAGCATGATGATAGCACCCTTGACATGATCTTGGTCTTCAAGTTTCTTCTTCACAGCAGCCAGCCAAGGTGAGAGCTCACCAGTTCTTTCCCACAGTTGAAATGAATGTGGTCAGATCCCATAGCCAGGGTCCAGGCCCTACAGCTTCCTCACTGGGAGACAGTTTGCAAGCCAGGCCTGGTAGCTCTTGTCTTTGAAAGCCATGACTTTCTGAGCTTTTCCCAGATGAGAATTTTGCTTCCATTCATTGATTGGTTGATCAAGTTACACCTTTGTCTTAACATTGCAAATTGAGGTTTTCTTACAGTACCGCACTGCAGATTTTACCAGCTTCATGTTTCATATAGAGAGTGGTTTATTGGCAGTGCGGGCAGGACAGCACTGTCGGGCTGCTGAGCAGGGAGGCTGCTGCTTTGCTGCAATCAACACAGGTAGAGGTTTCTGGGAAACGGGTTCCATGATTGCAGAAGTTTCCTTAAAAGCAGTTACAGTTACCTTAGACTCATTATGGAGGAATCTGTAAAAATGTAAGATGATTGGGGAACTGTGGTTATGTTATAACTCCTGACTTGAGGTTTCCAAAGGTGGCCTGGCTTCTGAGTTCCCAGGAGATAGCAAACCAGGCAGCCCCAGTGTGCCAGCACCTCCCCTTTCCCACCTCTTCCCCACAAGGTGGGGTCTGTGGCTTGACAAGTCACTGCCAAGCCTATAGCCCCCATTCTGATCTCTTCCAGTCGTGGGGCCTGTGCCAGAATCCCATTCCTGTCAGCGGTGACTCAGTGGCCCAGGCTAATCCCTCCCAGCTTTGGCCTCTGGGAGGAGACACACTTGATCTGCCTGCTGGAAATGAGATGATCCAGGTTTGTAAGTGTTTCTTATTGGGAGATGTGGGTGGCCTAACCAGTGTTTTCCAGGGACCATGAGAAGAAGTATCAGGTTAGAGCCCTGGAGAGCAGGCAGGGCCTGCTTTCCACAGGTATCTGGCTCTTTCAGAACCTACAGCAAGTTAGACAGTGCCTTACACTGTGAGCCCAGGCTTATAAGGCTGCCACATAACGGCTACTGTCCATGCTCGGATACCTACAGAGATCTGAGGATAAGAGCTTGCTTTGGTAGCCAGAAACACCAGAGACACCATAAGAGAGGGGCATGTTAGGAGTTTAGCAGAGCTGATGAGGTGTCTGTGAACAGGTGTGTGCCTTATATGCACATTCATGCATGTACACACATATGACCATATGTGTCTGAAGACATGTGTACAGGCATACTTGAAACTACTGATGGCATATAAAAGCATATGGTTTGATGAGTGGCTAGTGACACAGGCCCATCTGACAAGCTCAGATCCCTCACACCACAGAGCCTTTTATTCATGGAGGCAGGATCATGCTGCTATTGCAGCAGTTCTGCTGTTAGTGTTCTTTCCTACCTTCTGAAGCCTGCTGCTTCTGCTGATCAAGGAGCACATGGGGAGCCACCCTTTGCTTCCAGCTGGGTTGCCCTGTTAGATGACCCAGGGCAGGGCAGGGGAGACAGCCGGGCACAAGTGGGCCATAGATATTGTCCTGTCTGTTTGGCCCTATGTTCCTGCAGAAGCTCCTGTGACTCACATCCTGGGTGGGAATAGTCCATTCCTCTGCAGAGCATAGTTTTGATGGGGTGCAGGGTTGGCACAGGAGCATGTGGGACCCACTGAGCAGCTGAGTAGGAGGGCAGGAGGTACTATGGGTGAGTAAATGCAGGGGAGGAGAGCTCCCCAGCTACCCTGGCTGCCCATGAGAGGTCAAGGACAGCTCACACAGTGGGAAGGTCTAGAAGAGCCAGTCTACCACCAAAGGCTGTGCCCAAAACAAGAGCTCCATTTGCTCTTTCCCTAAATATAAAGTTCTTGGTTTTGTTTGAAGCTGGACTGCTTAGCAAAGCACAATGCCTGGAGAAATGTAGTTCTGAGCAAAAATAATGAACCTGACTACAAGTCAGAGTGGAAGGAGGAAGCCAGAGGCTTCTGTCAATGCCTCTTGACAAACCAGATCATTTTACTCTATTCAGGCTTCCCCCCCAAGAGGGGCTAACCTTTGTCTAAAACAGGGTGTGTTTACTGTCAGCCAACTGTTGGGCAACTTAGCATCTGTTGCCCTGCTTTGCTCAGAAGAGGGCAGGATTGGCCAGTAGCATTGTGCAGTCGCTGTGCCAGAGCAGCGGGTGGGAAGTAGTGGCAGTGCTGAGGTATTTTGGGGTAGAAGTCCCAGGCAAGTATTTATGTTGAGTTTTGAGCTTGCCTGGAAACCAGTTACACAGATATGTGTTTGCACACTCTTTTCCTTTTAATTAACTTGAACTTGAGCACCTGGAGATGGGTGAAGGCCAGCTTTTCCCTGATTTTGCACAGCCTTCTGCCTGTCATCGTGGCCCGTGGAGTGGCTGACCAGGATGTGTGGCTCCTGTGAGGCCAAGGAAACTGCCCTTCTAGCCCCACATGTTGACATAAAGACAAGCAGCAATAAGCAGGTCCAGAGAGGTAGGTCATGAGGTTGGATATGTGCAAAGCAGGTCCAGAGAGGTAGGTCATGAGGTTGGATATGTGCAGAGACAGGCTAGACATTAGGTTGTCACTGTTTGTGTTGTCTCTCGGCTTCCTCCTGAGCAGAGTCTGTGAAGGCCTCCATAGGTGAACAGAATCAAACTGGAAGTGAGATTGACCCAGCAACCATTGCACTCTCCAAGAAGGAGGTAGACCACTTGCCAAAGGAATCCTAGGCAGTCCCTTATGAAAGACCCACTTCCTGACATTGCCACTATGGCATCCAGCAGGAGCTTCTGAGGGGACAGCTATATTCAGTCTGTTGGCATTCATATCCCCAGGTAGTTGTCTGACTTTTTTTTTAGTTACTCAAAAAAATGAAAAGGGGCTTTCAAGTCATTAAAAAAGTCTTTTCCCACTGCCTGAGAACCTGAGTCTGTTTTGGTTTGGCAGACCCTCATTAGCATAAAAGACACTGTTCTTACTTGGAGTGTGTCCTTTAAAAAGGCACATGTTATCTGACAGACAAGCCAACACTATTTACAAGCTCTTAGAAGTTCACTGGGTGAGTTTGTACTGCTGTCTCTGGTTGTGGGGAACCATGCCACATGCTGTCTTCTTTGTACCACAGGTGGGTGTGCCATCTTGCCAAAGGTGTCTCAGATATGGGCAGTTCTGTTCATTGTTGGAGTTCCTTGTCTGGGACTCCTGGCCTTCCCTCCTAGAATAGTCCACAGCCCTGATGAAGGAAGGGCTCCTTGGTTCCTAGCAACTATGAATGACCAGACAGAGGCTCTGTATTGTCTGCCTAGAGCCACCTGACCAGTTGTGTGAGCACCAAGTGGACTTTGTGGGAAGTAAGCCAGTAGGAAGGATACCCAGAGGTGGGGTCACCCGAGACCTATGCTCCTGGGTGTCACACCCTCCCCTAGGAGCCTGTTCACTCCTCCAGTCTCTCTGCCATAGTGTAGCTCTTCTCTTCTTTTTTCTTTGTGTGTGCATGCATGTGCGTGTGTGCGTGCGTGCGTGTACGTACCTGTGCCTGTGTTTGCACGCAGAGGTGGATGTTGGTGTCCTCATCTATCTTGAACTTATTTTTTCTGAGATGAGGTTTCTCGCTGAACCTGGAACTCACTGTATTGGCTAGGCTGGCTGGTGAGTTGGCTCCAGCAGTCTTCCTGCTGGGGTTACAGGTATACACAGCTATTCCTGACTTGTGTGTGGATGCTCACGGTCCAAACTCTAGTCCTCACACTTGCACACAGGCAGTGTACCCACTGAGCTATCCCTGCAGCCCTCCCTCTCCTTTTGCTTTCCTCTCTACAGCTACTGGCTCCACGTGGGCTCTGCCCAGGGCTTTGTTAAGCTCTCCTGCTGTGTCTTCAGTGTGCCTGTGCATTTTTCTGTGGTCAGCTCTTTTCAAGTTCTAGCTTTTTTGTTTTTACACAGGCTTTAAAAGACTAATGTCTATGTGTAACAAGGATGTTTCGAGAAGGCTATATGTGGATGTGGCAGATTCCATGGCAGTCAACAACAGCTCAACACTCACTTAACCAGGTGTCTCTCTGCAGTGGGCTACATTGCACTTACTGTGGGCCTGCTGCTTCTGGACCAGAAGAGGATGGGGATTGATTGACCCAAGCTCCACTGACCATCCTGGCTTTGTCCCCAACCCCAGGTACTGCAGGGTGCTCAGCTCATAGCCGTGGCCTCTTCAGACCCTGCTGCTACGGGAGTAGACGGGTCGCCTCTCCAGGGCAGTGACATTCAGGTTCAGTACGTCCAACTGGCACCTGTGAGTGACCACACAGCTGCAGCCCAGGTGAGTCCTCGGCCCCTCCAGCCTCCCCAGTAGATACTGAACTTGGAGCTGTGTCTGACATTCCTCTAGAGCTCGGAACCTTGTAGAGAGGCCACAGATCCAGCTCTGGCGTGGGTCTTCTGTTAGCTCCTCACTCCTGAAATCATGATGTGAAGGCGGTTCTGGCAGTTTGCAGTGTGAGCTGTACTTGAGATACCTGTCTGGAAATGCTTATCTAGATCTAAAACTAGACCAAAGCTCTGCCTGCCCCCTTTCCTGAGAGCCATTCCTGGAGGTGCCCAGAGTCAGGGCCTCTGTTTCCTGAGAACTCATTGCCCGTTCTGTTGAAGGTCACAGGCCAGAAGCTGTGAGCTCATGTGATCTCAGCCCAACCAGGGTAGGTGACCATGGAAGGGAGGCAGAAGACCCAGGACAGTCTGAGTCTGCATCATGTGGACAAGTCTCCTCCCTCCCTCTGTATACCTCTAGCTAGCTCTGGCAGGAGCTCTTTCCTTGGTGTGCTGTGGGCCTGGTATAGTGAGCAGTGCAGGTTCTCACAGAAGTTTCTGGTCTCCTGAGCCTGAGAACCAGGCCTTGGCCCTAGGCTGGTCATGATTTTACTTCTCCCAGAAGTTGTTGAGGCCTGTCTGCCTCAAGAATTGGAAGGGCTTATGGAGCTGCCAGGCCAGGCGTCCTAGGAGAGGGCACTGTGAGATCTCTTCCCTGAAGACTAGGAATGACTCTTCCAGGTTCTCAGGGAAGGAACTTGGGCTAAGGTGAAGGCCTTCCAGTCTGCAGGCCTCAGCCATCATCCCTGTCAAGCCGCAAGAGGCTGCCCCCTTCAGCCTGCCACACAGCTGCCCACTTGATCTCACTTTTGCAAACTTTTGATAAAGCTGTAGGGTCGCTCGCTTTCCTGCCTGCTGAGCACAAAGCTTCATAGAAAGCACCTGCAGGCTACACCTTCCAACTGAACGGTAATCCTCTTCTTCTCTTCCCTTCTTTTTTTTTTTTGTAAGTGAGTTGAACACAGCCTCAGCCATGCCATCCCCACTGGGGAGAGAGGAAGCAAGCCACCACCAACACCCCCCCACACTCCCACACACACGTACACACACACATACACATACACATACACACACACACAGAGTCTCTCTATGTAGCTCTGGCTGTCCTGGAACTCACTGTGTAGACCAGGCTGGCCTTGAACTCACAGAGATCCGCCTGCCTCTGCCTCCTGGGTACAGGAACTAAAGGTGTGCGCCACTATGCCCAGCTGCTCTCCTCCTTTCTTAAAGGAGACAGTTTGTCAAGTGTTTATCTTTAAAGAGCAGAGACTTAGATGTCCGTTAAGAGCTGTCAGGTGCCAGCGCTGTGAGGATGTGGCTATGAGTCTTCTGCCTCATGTGGTGCAGGCCCTGTTCCTGACTCGGCACCAAAGCCCAGGCAACTTATCCTTTGGTGCCCCTGAAGTACAGCTGAGATGGAAGATTGGTGACTCATTCCAAGGTTGCAAGTTCACACCTTGAAACAGTGACTGCATTCTCTTTCTAAAGTACATCACTGACAGGCGCCATGTCTTTAAGCTGTCTCAAGATGCCACTTTAGAACACTGGACCGTTTCTGTAGGAAGTCAGCGTGACCCTAAGATTCTAAGCAAATATTTCAGGTTAAGAACATGGCCTGGCTAATCTGCATTGTTTCTCAGGACACCTCGAGTAAGGATGGAGAATTGGCAGCAGTGTGGCCCCAGTAGCCCAAGTTCTCCTGGGCAAGTGTGAGGTCTGCTTGTTTCCCATCCAGTCGGGGGTAGCCTGATACACACTGAGCTTCTGAGGCTGGCGTGTGTTTTCTCTGTGTGTGGGAAAGTTGTGGCTCTGTGTAACATACAGGTGGCTTGCTGACACAAACGTGCTGCTGTGTTTTTCTAGACCAGCTCTCTTTTCTCCCCCACCTTGCAGACGGCTGAGGCGTTGCAGCCCACTCTGCAGCCTGAAATGCAGCTTGAACATGGAGCCATCCAGATCCAGTGAGATTAAGCACTGTAGGAGTACCACACCACAGCTGCTCACTGACCCTGCCCTGTGTCCTGCTCTCCTGCTTCAGCAGGACAACTGTGGATTCTGCAGGGCACATGAGAGCTCCTCCTCCTGGGGAAGGGTCCTGGCCATCCCCTGCTGGAAGGCACCTCAGGATTGAGTCCCACTGCTGGTCTCCGGAGAAGCATAGTGCAGAGCGTGTTGAGTACATTCAGAAAAACAAGAACTACGATATTTTGTTTAACAGCTTTTTTTAATTTGCTATGGTGTTTATAACAAAAAAGAAAATGGAAAAAAAAAACCCACACACAACAGAAACACAACTGTGGAGTAGCAGAAGCCTTGGCCGTGTGCTCTCTTCAGGGTCCTGACGTAGGTGTTGGGGCCAGCTGACGATGCTGGAGCACTTCGGACCCGCTGCTAGGGGAGTGCTCCACAGTGTAATTATGCATTTCTAATGAAATAAAAGTGTATTTATGGCCACAGAGGCTCAGTGTTGTTGCACCATGAGAGGACTTCCCCAGGGTGCCCATTCCCAGCATGGGTGCTGGGAAGCACACTCACTCCCAGGTCCATGCCACCAGGGAATCCCTGCTCTAGCCCTTGATGCTGGGCAGCAGGAGCTATGGGTCACTCTTGGGGCAGCTGGCTCCCATTTCATCATGGTGGAGCTCTCAAAGGCAAGGTCACTCCAGCCCATCCTCTTCTGAATGCTTAGGCTCCATAAGGTGCAGCCCTAGAGGTCCTTGGAGAATGCCCTGTGGAAAAGGCCATGCCTCTGCAGAGAAAGCAGTTTCAATAGTCACATCAGTGGCTTATGAAATGCCAGTAAAGTTGTCCTTACTGACTGATAATGCCATGCTCAAGACCTTTCCTAGGAAGACTTCAAAGTTTCTGTCCCCAATTATTGTGCCTCTGTCTCACACCACCACATTCTGAATGCTTGGGTTGGTTAGTCATGCAGAGGTAGCAGAGGAGGGCAGCTCTCTGGAACAGACAGTTTGACACGGTTTGTGACTATCCTCACAGGAGACTGGCCACTACTGAAGATGGCCCTGAGTAGGGAAAATAGGGAAAGGCATGGAGGCTGGAGGTTACAAGCCTATATAGTACATCTGGGCAGGATCCCAGGCAAGAATGGAGGACAGAAGAATGATTCCAGAAGGGTCCAGAAAGGAAAGCACCCGCCATGAGAAGCATGGTATAAACCCACACCCAGACATGCAGGATGTGAGATGGCCACAGACTCGAATCCTTGAAACCGGAGTACTGGGAGGTACTTTCAACAGTCAGGTCTCCAGAAAACGTGTTCTGAAAGCTAGTGACAATGTACCATATGACCCCATAGTTATAATCTCAGGAATACCCTCTGTTTTCATATATACACCTATGTGTGCACATTCACAACAGCCTCGTTCATAGCAACCTGAAGTGGAAATAGCCCAAAGGTCCAGCACATGAACAGGTGAGCAAAGGCATGCCTCTGGATACAGAGGATTATTCAGCTGCCACAGGATTGATACTCTGGCTCACACCATGGCATGATGAACTTGAAAACATTAGTGAGAGAAAGAAACCAGAGGTAAAAGACTACTCAGCTGCCACAGGATTGATATTCTGGCTCACACCATGGCATGATGAACTTGAAAACATTAGTGAGAGAAAGAAACCAGAGGTAAAAGACTACTCAGCTGCCACAGGATTGATATTCTGGCTCACACCATGGCATGATGAACTTGAAAACATTAGTGAGTGAAAGAAACCAGAGGTAAAAGACTACTTCTGGAAGATTATATGAATGGACAGATTGATAGAAACAAAGTATCAGGATCTGAAGAGAGGGATGGTGGGAGTTACACACAGGGGATAGTGTGTCTTTGTGGGGGTGGTAAAAATGGTCTGGATTGGATAACAGTTATTCTTGTCCTGTACACCAGGTCACTCAAAAAGGTGAAATGTTTGGTGTCCGTTAGATCTCAAGATTATTTTTGATAAATGGATTACATTTGGCAAAAACATAAAAATTGAGGCCCTGTGCTGGAGATGCCCCCTGAGAAGATGGTTCTAGGGGATTTTCAAGACTAGAAAGATGGACCCTGATGGAGGTTCGCAGTGAGAGACCACTGGACCACATGGAATAGAAACAGATCTGAGGTGATCTATATAAAATGGACTCTTTGAGAGTAAAGAAATCAAATAGTGGAAAATCTGACTACCTCAGGACAGGCAAGAGGATAAGTGAATTATTTTCAAGCACTTTGACCACCTTGAAGAAAGAATGGGAGTGGTGTGCAATATTAAGCCTTCAGAATCTGAAAACCATATAGAAACACAATCTGTAAAGACTAGAATGCGTGCCCAAGTGGCTAATAGCCCTGGCCTTGTCCCCTGTAGAACATCAGCTGGCAGCTTGAGAAAGGCATATATTCTTTAGGTGTTCTCTGGAACGTTGCTAAAGAACTCAGCCTGTCACAGGCTTGGTGAGTGTTGTGTGTTCTCTGGCCAGATGGAACTAAGGTAAATTTTAATGAGGAAAAAAGCACCCATAGGTCAAATAAATAAAGATGGACTCATGAAGACAGTCTTCTTCGAATGACTGTGATGTCAAAACATGTGGAATATATCAGGTGTGCTGAGAAAAATCTAAAGACACTAGGGATGGAGAACTAAATCTAGATTCAGATGAGAAAACCAATGTTGGTGCTTTGGGGAAGATTGCACCTGGAGGATTCTATGTACAGAAACGTTCAAGCAGCTGATAAACTGCTACAACCAGTCAAGAAGGAGGACGGACACCAGTTGTCTCGGGGGGGGGGGGGGTCTCCACAGACCCCTCAGGCACTGGAAGATGAGGCTGTCCTGGAACTGTATCGATGGATTAGGAAAAGGCAGATGGGATGACATCTAAGACTTTGACACCAGACTGGAGTGAGGTAGAAGAGAAGAAGGAAGGAAGGAGAAGAAAAGAATGTTGCTTGTGAGTGTCTGAGCTACCCCAAAGCATGTACAGGCTGTGCTTAGTGACATCAAGTGATGTGTCACCACACCCCGGATTGAGTTGGGTTCGCGTATGCATGCTTGATATAATGTTTTGAAAGTCATTGTGACTTACTATGGTAATACAACCATATGGTTATCTTAAGCAGAAAAATGCTATGTAAAATTCACTCCTTTATGGTTAAGGGGACTTTCAGGAAAGTTGCAGTTGATCCAATCAAAGGCATCTATAAGAAACCTGGGACACATATTCCCTGAACTTGGATTTGGAAAACTTCTTTGACAATTGGCATATAAGGATGCCTGAAACCTTGGTTACTTGGCATAACGGCAAGGATTGGTTAGCACTGATTAGTCAGATGAGATTAGAAAGCCAGACGTGAAACTCCTCTGTCTGTAGATACCTTGGATGTGTGCACCTGACGGACATCACAGAGCTGACCAAGAAAGCTGTGAGTGGACTTTTCCTGGATGCTAGCCACAGGCCACTTAGAAATCAACTCGCATCTCAATAGAGAAATAGCTCAGGTGCTCTTTAATGCTGTTTATTATAGACTCCTAAAGCTTCAACCCACAGAAATACATCTCAACAAGAGAAGCTGAGGTAGATGTTACTGAACTAGGGAAGAGCCAAGGAAACACAGGGTGGGCTGCTCAGGAATCAAAGCTTCATTCGTGAAGGTGTGAGTTCTCTGAATGGTGCAGCAAGGGACGGTCCAGGCAGAAGCCAAGCAGAAGCTTCTGTGGCAGCAGACTAGAGTGATGTCTAGAGAGATGGCTCTGTGGTTGACAACTCTTCACACTCCCTCATTCCCATGGCAGGCACACACACATACACAAAGAATGACAGTCTGTCTGGATGGACCTGTGTGTGGCCCAGCAAATAGTGTGGCACACTGTGAAACCTGAGACAGAGACCCACAGTGAGGACATGAGGCTGCTGGGACAAGGGACACAAGTTCCACAATGAAGCTGGTGGCAGCTGGAATTTCACAAGCCAAATGTGAGGAGTGTCGTATACTAGGTAGTGAACTCTGACCTTGGCTTGGTCAAAGGTGACTTGCTGGATATAAAAGTCTGGAGTAAAGGAAAAGCTGGTAACACTGAGCTCACACCAGAAGACACTGCTTAGGTGCACACAATGGCACAAGCCTATAATTCCAACACTTGGGAGATGGAAGCAGCAGGGACAGGAGTTCTACGTCATCCTCACCTACAGGAGACGCTGTCTTTTAAAACAACAGAACCGCTAAAGGATATCCCAGCACCTAGGAGAGATTGGCTCCATTTCCTTAGGACACATGAAACTCAGCCGATCTTCCAAGAGCCTGTGAGTGATAAAAACAGCTCCAGGATTCAAGAGGACCTGAGGGGCAGAGGAGGCCTGACCTTACTAAGAGACAGTGAGACTGTCATTTACTGCTGAGAGTCTGTTCTGCCAAAATAACAAAAACACAAAAGACTGAAACATATCCACCAGATCTCTATGTGTCTAATAAACATGAAGAGGATCAGCCTCACTGCACTGAGATACTTTTTATTTTTTTATTTATTTATTTATTTATTTATTTATTTATTTATTTATTTATTTATTTATTTATTTATTTATTTATTTATTTATTTTTTTGGTTTTTCGAGACAGGGTTTCTCTGTGTAGCTTTGCGCCTTTTCCTGGAACTCACTTGGTAGCCCAGGCTGGCCTCGAACTCACAGAGATCCGCCTGGCTCTGCCTCCCGAGTGCTGGGATTAAAGGCGTGCGCCACCACCGCCCGGCTGAGATACTTTTTAAACCACTATGATTTACTATATAAGTCTGCAGAGGGAAGAGTGTGAATAGATGGCTTATTCAGTCTCCGTAGAGGGTGAACTGGTGATTTCTGGGGAGCTGAACTGCGGTCATTGCCGGTGGGAGGAACAGATGAGACTACCCGACAGTGCTGCCACGTTCTGTTCTGGTGTGCTCACTAGACACTCGGGACAGAAGCTGTTTGCTAGCAGCTCTGCACCACAGGGGCTCCTGTGACAGAAGGAGCAGGATGGCAGACATGGGAAGAGCAAAGTGGCGCCCTTGTGGGCAGGATGACAGAGTGGTGGCAGGGAAGATACCTGTGTCTTTTGTCCAGACAGCACATGACACAGGCAATATGAGGACGTCTGAACAGGACACACACGGTGGGACATTCCTTAGTCATTGGAGCTGTCACTATGATACGAGAGTGTTACTTTCAAACTAATAGGGTGGAGAAAACAGGAAAAATACCCAGCCAGTCCAAAGAAGGGACAGGGCACAGGGAGTGTCATGGTGGTAGTGGAGCCCTGAAGGGACATTTGAAGTACTGAAGAAAGGGAGGCTCGGGTGAGGAAGGGGCACTTGGGAATTGAGGGTGATTGGGGGCACTTTTCTTTTGGGCTGGGTGGCCTATCAGGCCTTGGTGGAATGTGCTTGGCCTCACCACCCTTACAGCTAGTTGGACAAGCAGTGAGACCAG